AGTTGGTTTGTCCAGGATGTAGTGGACATGGTGACAAAGGTGACCGGTAGCTCGACCCTGAGTGTTGTAAGTAGAGGGAAGGAAGAAAATTCTTGGGGTTGGATGTTGATGTTGCTTTATTGAACCCGAAACATCGGTCAGACCTGTCAAATTTGCTGAACTCTTACTCTGATATTATTGAAAAGGGGCCGAATGATATAGGGAGAACATCTGAAATTTATCATCCTATCTACACAGGCGATGGTGTTCCAATAAGACAGGGGTGTAGACGATTACCTTTGTCCAAGAAGCCATTAGTAAAGGAACATATCGATAGCATGTTGAAGGGAGGGTTGATAAGCCCATCGCATAGCCCTTGGTCTAGTCCGATAATTCTGGTACCAAAGAAAGATGGATCTAGTCGGTTTTGCGTTGATTATCGTAAGCTGAATGCCATAACCAAGAAAGATGCATATCCACTGCCCAGGATAGATCAAACTTTGGATGCTTTGAGTGGTGCCACAATTTTATTTCATAATACATTACCTGACATATATTACATATGAATTTCATTACTTCATGATAGCTTTAAACTCGCCCTACTTCCGGTTCAACTCAGTGTTAACCGGAAATAGAGAAAACGTGTACTACGCATGCGCGTTGGCATGGTAAACACTACCTTATAGTTTTCATTGCTCGGCGCGTGTGTTCGCACGTGTTTTAGTTTAGCTTTATTTACTCAGAGTTTATTTTGGAAAGAGATGTCTTCTGACGACTCTCTTCGAAGTTCTTTGATGATAAGAAATGACAAATCAGAAGCAAATTCGGATTTTGTCCGTGATGAAAATGTTGTGGCCGAAATCGGAAGTGAGAATAAATCGGACGCAACTCAGAACTGTCCGAAGCACAAAGCTTCTAAGACAACAAATAATAAGGTGAGAACGCGTGATCGTATCTCTAATTTAGAATCCAAATTGGATAAATTTCTTGAGGTTTTTGACCAACGATCTTTTATTGCCCCCACTTTTGAGGCGGCTTTTGAGAAGCATCGGAAAATTGACAAATCACAAAGATTTGATCAGACTAGGCCTATTCGTGATAAATCACAAAGATTTGAACAAACTATTGTTGACCAATCTCAAAGATTGGACAACTATAACAATGCTTATCAAGATGAGGCTTCAGCAAAAAGGGCAAAATTCAAAAATTATAAATCTATTATTTCTTCCAGTGAGGAGGATGATGTGTTGTCATTACAGCCAGGGCAGAGCGAAATTAATTGCTTTTCTTCAGACTATGCTCAGTCTGATGAGAATAACTGTATGCCTGTTTTAGAAAAGGAAGTTGTGCCTTCTACCAAAGAATCTAATGTTAATGTCACAGACAAGAGCCTTTTCGATATTTTCGATATTTTCGGGAAGGATGCCCTTAATCTCAGTGAAGAGTCGGGTAAGGGCATTGGTTTGGATCTTTCACA